TTTTTTAAAAAAAAAAAAAAAAAAAGAGGAAAGAAGCAAGGTCATGAATAGAAAACCATTCGTAAACTGGTGAGTATTAAAACAAATATGAAAATACGATTGGCTGTATAAACAAAATCTCTGAGATAAACTGCGAGGCTTGGGAATGTGGACACAGGTAATTTAGAGCGCTGGCATGAAGGCGGCAGACGCTGAGGAGACGACCCCTTCATTTGCTTCCAGTCCCCCCAGGCCCCCTGTCCCTGGAGCTCCAGAAGAGAGAACTACAGGTCCAGGGGAGCATCCCGCTTTTAGGGAGACTGCCAGGCACCTGAGCTCTGGGTCACAGGAGTAAATCCCCAAAGCATGACTCAGGGTTATCTCCAAGGTAAAGAGGAATCCAAATGAAATGTGTATTCCGCCTTAAACAGACTCCAAATATCAAAATCTAAGACGCACCGAGGGATTCACGGGAAGATCCACCCTAGGGTTCCTTTACATAGTAACGCTTTGGTTTTAAATGCAATTTATAAAAATCCAAATCACACAAACCTTAGGAAGGCATCTATGCCCATCCTGACCCGTCTTTAACACCTAGGGCATTACACAAAATGAACTTAGTCTGGGCCTGATGGTTCTCAACCAAAGGGCGAGTCCTCTGCCCTGCCACCTCTGGAGGTGAAAGGGTTTTCCTTCCCCAGACACACGTGTGTTCGCTGGAAAGCATCAGGCCCCTGCTCAGCGCTGACGCCCAGCTCCTCTCCCGTCCTGGAATCAATCGCGTACCTGGGCTGCGGTCACAGCGAGACGAGGAACATGACCAGGGGGAAAGGTAAGACACAAGCGGGCTGCCCCCCCGAACATTCTGAGCCAAACCAGGGGCACCCCGCGTCTCTCTGCACCCACACCTCATCGACCACGGCGCCCTGAAGTTGGACTTACCAACTTGCCCTGGAGCTGCTATACTTGAGCAGAAACTTGGGCACTTCGGCGCAATACCCTAACAGGGTCTGTGTCATTTCTCCAGTCCCACCCGACCGCCGCCACGGCCGCCAGCCCAGCAGGTGCGGCGGGGGCGCGCCACGGCCACGGCCACGGC